AGAGTTAGGACGTCAACTTCAGGTGCATTAGGTTGCCTTTTACATAGTTATTACAATATGCGAATTACGCAACACCTTTTTTCTTTATGAAATGACTACTAACTGCACGTGTACCTGCCAATCAAACCATGTTTTATCTTTCAAAAAGACCTCTAGCACAAAAACCAATGATCGTGCAGGGATTGATTCATTGGATATTCATAAAGCGTCCACTCAAGCGGTATGCTTACGATAGATCTAAAAAAAAGGACTTTCACTATTTTAGAGGACTTGCAATATTTTTTGAACATTCTAGGGCATTCGCAAATGCATTTTTTTAACTAAACTATAATCAGATGGAATGACATATCAGATGGTTCCAACTAAGCGCTAAGTTCAATTAGGTTATAAACAGTGACTGCCAAAAAGTTGCGGACAAGCCGCCTTCCTTTTTTCATCTCTCATTTTCGGATGGAAAACGAAGATGAAAAAATGATTGGATTGCATGTGGTAATAGAGCTCACCAAGAGCTACAACCCACACATTGCGCTTTCTGGAAAACATGTATTATAAAAGTTTCAAAAATCTTTTTCACAATGTCGCGGACAATAATTCTTTGAACGCGAAAATTTTGCTTTAGGTCTTTGTTTTGAGCAACAACAGAACTTTTGCGGAGATGTAAGCATACTATGTCATAGAGCTCATCAGAGACAATAATCGGGTAATGGTTCCTTCCAAAAAACCCAAGCTTGAATTTGTTTTGCTTTTTTTCAAAAAATAATTTTCAATTCCCTTCTTCAAGCCAAATTTCCCTAACATGGAAACCTATTCAAGACATTCCAACAAGGCTATTCGGATAAAATGGATGCCCTTTGCCATCCTCTATGCATTGGACGTGTGCAGGTGTGTTTCTTTGCTGGAAATGGCTCTTGACAGTGCGTGGACGTGACCCCACCTGCACCTCACCGCTGACTTTCACCGCTTTGCAGGCTTGTATCTCGGCCGGCAGTCAATCCACGAGCCTGCAAGTAGGCTCTTTCGAAAGAGCTGGCTTCCTGGACGACGGTATGCAAAAGAGTTGGGTATGTGAAACAGCAGAGTTGGCGGATGGGGTGGCAAAGCGCAGCCTTAGAGGTGAATGGAGTGAAAGGTCTTATCAACACTAGAACGGTGTTAGAGCTCCGAAATGGATCTATTACAAGAAAACTGACGGTTTTGAACTTCGATGGTATTGATGGCGAAAGAAGCTTTGCTCAACTTTAGCTGAAAAATCCTTAGCTTACCACTGAAGCTGCACTTTGTCACCCCATCCGCCAATCCTCTGCTGTTTTCATACCCAACTCTTTTGCATACCATCGTGTCGAGGAAGTCATGCTCTTTCGAATGAGCCTATGCACAGGCTCATGGAATGACTGCCGGATGAGATACAAGCCTGCAAAGCGGTGCAAGTCAGCGGTGAGTTGCAGGTGGGGTCATGTGCACGCACTGTCAAGAGCCATTTTCAGCCAAGAAACTCATCAGCACATGTCCGATGCATAGAGGATGGCAAAAGGCATCCATTTTATCCGAATAGCCTTGTTGAAATGCCTTGAATAGGTTTCCATGTTAGTGAAATTTGGCTTGAAGGAGGGAATTGAAAATTATTTTTTGAAAAAAAGCAAAACAAATTCAAGCTTGGGTTTTTTGGAAGGAACCATTGCCCGATTATTGTCCTCGATGAGCTCTATGACAAAGAAGCTTACTTGTCCGGAAAAGTTCTGTTGTTGCTCAAAACAAAGACCTAAAGCAAAATTTTCGCGTTCAAAGAATTATTGTCCGCGACATTGTGACGCGGCCATTTCCGGACTTTTTTTAGGAAAAGATTTTTGAAACTTTTATAATACATGTTTTCCAGAAAGCGCGATGTGTGGGTTGTAGCTCTTGGTGAGCTCTATCACCGCATGCAATCCAATCATATTTCATCCTCGTTTTCTATCCGAAAATGAGAGATGAAAAAAGAAAGGCGGCTTGTCCGCAACTTTTTGGCGGTCACTGTAGATCGCACATTTCTTACCTAGTTCCCCTGAAAATCTTGCACGATTCAAAAAAGTTGACATTCAAGAAAAGAAAGATAAGGCAGAGATAACGAAAGTATGAAATGTCGACAAAGCATTCAGCTGAGCGAAAACTATGGGATGGGCGGGGCGGGAGAATACAGGAGATGAGCGCTGCTTCCGCGTTGAATGGGTTAGAAGTAGCAGAGAAAGATCGGACTTTGGCCGATAGGTTCCATAGGGGACTTCTACCATGTGGCCTTATTTTGTCACGGGTCTCATTCTGCCGATGTACTTCCTTTAACCAGCAAACAGTAAATAATGATGTGAGTAAATGCAAATCCAGGAGAGTGCAGTGCACGACGGGAAACGTGATCCGATGATAAGAGCTGCGCGCGCGACGCGACCACCCGCGCAGCTGATTGTATAGCTCAGACATTTGCGGTTAAGTCTCGCAGGAGATCCGCCCACAAAGTGAGAAATCGCGAAAAAATCGGACTCTTGCGCGACACCTGGTTTTGTCCCGACTTTCGGGGTTATTCCGACAGAAAAATTGAAGCGGGAGATTATCGGGAGTCGCGATTTTGGGGCGCGCTCTCAGTGTCTGAGCGTAAAGGACACTTGCTTGAAATAAGACGCATGGTCAGACTACCCTCAGTGTCCACGACTTTGGATGTGTTTCCACGACATTTCGGGACTCCCGTAGGAGCTCCCGGCTTTCTCAGTAGAAAGCATTTCGGGACAAAAGCGCATGTCGCGCAAGATTATCCCGAACGAATTTTGGGAGTTCCGGTTTTCTCGCAAACCATTTTACTTGTGTCCCGCAGTCATTCCGTCGGGACACAACTTTTTCACCGGCGGGACTTAACCGCGAATGTCTGAGAGATTCAAATGGGGCCGGAGACGCCGAGCAAGGCGTCCAGGAACGGTCAGGAGGTACGATCGGCGCGAATTTTTCGCAAAGCGACGCCGCAGCGCACTTTAGCCAATGCAACAGCAGCGCTGCTGGTGCAGTACTACTTATGGCATCAAATCATGTATTTGCCCTAATCCCCACCCTCTTGTTTTTGCTGCCACAATCTCTAACAGCGGAGAGTTTTGTGGGTCCCGAGATTTGAACGCGGCGTGCGCGGCGGAGCGCTCACCGCGCGGCGTGTCTAAGTGCAGCCAGGGGGCCACACTAGTCCACGGCATATTGAGAACTAGCTGGCTTACCCGGCTCCGCCGTATTTCCGAATAGAAAATTCCATTTTTTAACCGATCCGAACCAAACTTGGCACACATACATTTCGGGCCCTGGCGGGTGTCACAGTCCACTTTTCGTTATCGATTGATGTCGATTTTATCGATTTTTTGCAAAATTTGAGCTAGGGGGCTGGGATTTGGCACAGGGGGGGTAATCGAGCATGCCGATTACGAATACAATATTAGTTTTCGAAACCGTGCATTACTTTTATCGATTTTATCGATTTTTTGCAAAATTTGAGCTAGGGGACTGGAATTTGGCAAGAGGGTGTAATCGAGCATGCTGATCACACCCACGGGGGTGATCAGCATGCTCGATTACCCCCCCCCCCTGTGCCAAATCCCAGCCCCGTAGCTCAAATTTTGCAAAAAAATCGATAAAATCGATAAAAGTAATGCACGATTTTAGAACTAATATTGTATTCGGAATCCCCATGCTCACTTACCCCCCTGTGCCAACTCCCATCCCCGTAGCTCAAATTTTGCAAAAAATCGATAAAATCGATATCGATCGATGACGAAAAGTAGCCTATGACACGCGCCGGGGCCCGAAGTGTATGTGTGCCAAGTTTGGTCCGGATCGGTTCAAAAATGGAATTTTCTATTCGGAACATACGTACACACAGACATACATACAGACAGACAGACATACAGACAGACAAACAGACATTCAGCTTTATATATAAGATGTGGCATAGGAATTGAGATAGAGGGTAGCAATCTCCTGTCGTTATTTTTTAAGCTATTCTCTAAGTAATGCGACATATCTGAATTCTGAAAGCCTTTGGGGGCATATGCACACTTTATCATCTACCGCACAAAAAGTAAAGAAAAATCAGAAATGCGACAGAACACATTACACTACTCAATAGATCCTTTACGACATTTCATCGAGTTCATAGGAAGGTAGACATTTTCCAAAAAAGAGTTGAACCCCGTGTTTGGAATGCTTTTTTTTTTCAAAACAGTGATATATTCAGCTTCGGCAAATATCATCCATTATTCTCAAGAATAGCACATAGAAGAATACAGTTGTCTGGAGAGGCGAGATACGACGCGTCTCTTCTCAGCTCCTTCCCCTCTTCCCCAGTGGGGATATGCGGCGCATACGGGCCTAGCAGTAATAGTTCAATTTTGTATCTTCACGCGAGAATTCTCTCTATATCATAACTTGAACCGTGGTTAGTAAACGGTTTGCGCGACTACACCTTTCTTGCACCTTTTTTTCTTTCTCTGAAAGAACTTCCAACTCCATGGTTGGCAGGTTTACAAAAACGAGCCTGTGCATTATCGAGCTCCGATCAAAGACTCAATTTTGTGGGTATCCGAATGACAGATTTTGAAGCGATTTTTGAACCCGCATCACCCGCACCTCTTTTTGCATGCTGAACCTAAATGCAAATAGCGTATGTCATGCAAAAATTTATCTTGAACGCTTGGCTGCATCTTTGTGTATGAATTTCGTGACAGACAAAAATAATATAGCCTTAGCGAGTCATCATATTAGAATGGAGTGGAAAAACTACTGGTGAATTTTCTCGCCTTCTCAGTGTTCTGAAATTAGTACATAGTTCAAAAATGCGTAATACCGTCTTGGTAAATTGGCTCATACAAATTGCTAGCAGGAAAGCCACATGCAACTCGAACATGAAAATCACAGGATGTGAATTTCACTCTGCTTCCTAGTTTAGATCAGCTATGCTGTGTTGGTGCATATGCTAAAGATCAGCAGTTCCAGTTTAGGTATTGGATACTAAAATACCCATTCTGGACTGCTTATGACGCATTCTCAGTGACGACTTAAATATGACGTTTTTGGTGATCAGCCTTTGACAGTACAGGATGACATCTTACGTGAGTTATCCACTTCATTACTTTGGTGGAATGCAATAGATAAGACTGAGCCGTCTAACGAAAGTGACGGTTGTATTAGGATTCACTGATGTTAGATGCACTCAGCCTTATCGAAAAATGTCAAAGTTTTTTCCATCACTTAGTCGAGTGCTTTTCTCGTGCAAACTGATATCACTCATTTGAATAATGGCTTTCTCTTATCTGCCTCCAAGCTCAATGTCTCCTTAGTTGAGAAGTTTGGCTTACTTTTTGGTTCCTACAAAACATGTTATGAGATCTTAACAAAGACATCATTTTTTTCTGGTAGCTTTTTCGAAATAAATATAATTTCCTTAGTACGCATACAAGTAAACGGATCCCACTCAACCATGTAATGAGCACCGAGCTTCTCCGGTGCATTGCATTGTCTACCCAAATTTTAAACGACATATTTCAGATGGCGGACAAAAATTACTTTGCATGGGCTATGTGTGTGGTGATGATACTCACCGGCGCACTCAACACTATCTTTGCAAAGTGGAGCGACTCCATTAAGGTTGATGATGCTTTCTTCAACCATCCATTTCTTCAGGTATGTGAATCAAAACACAAAATGATCATATTAGGTTGTCCGGAAAATAATGTCGCTTGGCATTTTACCGCGACAGAATGACCACAAAAAATAGCGAATGGGGTATCATATGAAGAGCAAGCTGTACAAGGTGGTTTACAAAAGTCCACAGAAGTCTTGCTCCACCCGAAGTTTGAATCCAAAATATAAAAATTTTCAGACACCCGAAAATCGTATCTCCGTAGACGTCTTAGAGATCTCAAATTTGCACAGGCATGTACTCTCTACACTAGACATTCACCTTTATAGTTTGTGGTATCTTTTCATGGCTACAGTACGACAAACATAAATAAATCAAAAGTGCGAATATGTCGCGTTGTTCGGGTTTTTTGCAAACAATTTCATTTTTCTCGAAAACTAGCGCTAGTCTAGCTGAAAATTCATGGTTATACTCCTGAAGGTCCTACTACTCACCCTTGTGAGAGAAGCTCATGATTGCTTTGGCAAAATATGCCGAATTTCGTTTTTTCAATTCTCAGCCATGGAAAAACGGCGAAAATGTGCATACGAGTGTTTCGTATAGTGAGTCCATGCGTGAGCAAGTTAGGGGTTCCCAGGACCTTTCTGAACGGAGATATGATTTTTTTTTCGTTTTTAGATCTTTAGTGCCTTATGAAATTTGGCTCCAAACTTCACGCATACAAAGTTGGCGCGAAGGTTCGAGCTTCATTTTGTAGTGCTTGATCTGATCTGTCGGCTGATACCCCACTTACTTACTTTCGTGCGCACTCTGCTGCGATATAGCATGATAAAACACGATGTGACATTATTTTCCGGACAACCATACAATTAGGAGGCCTGTGTCTATTTTTGTTACACTGTAGGAAATAGGAGTGACTTGTGTCACTGTCTTTTGCGCGTTTTGAGCAATATGATTGGGAAAACAAAATTCGCTCATCAAAGAATGGATGGCCGAAGTGATTTTCAATCGCTTGAACATGGATTCGGGTTGATAATTTGTTGCCTTACTCTTCATAAGTGCGTACGATGACACTTGGGAGGTTCATTAGTGAAAGCTTACAAGGTTTGCATGACCATGAAAATACAGAGTGTAACGGAAATATTCGCGAGAATCTGCAATCTTTTTCCTCTTCACATTGAACTAATTTTACAGACAATGGCCATGTTTTTTGGAATGATCTGGTGTATGGTTGCGTATTTCATTCATTTTGGCTACCGAAAATATAGGTGGAACAAGGCGAAAGGTGCTTTGTGTAAATCAATTCTGCAGAATTATTGGGTTGACCAGAAAGTCCCCAAATGATCGAGAAGCTTTTTTTGAGAAGTAGGTAGCTATGGTGATTGTAAAAAGCGATTGTGAGCTAGATAATAGACAATAGACCTAGCCCACAATCGCTTTTTACAGCCCAGAAATCTCACTACAGATAACTATCAAGCAGAGAATTAGAAGTGCAGCCAAAATCTTATTCACTGCTCAGTGCAATGATTGTGCTTCCGCAACCATAACTCAGAACGATGAAGGCAAACCAGGCTCAAAACGTTTTGGTGAAATTTACGAGATTGCTAGTTAATCACATATTCATTCGCCAAAACTTTCTTTATGAGAACAATAATGGCCTGTGGTACAAGCCTGAAAAAGATGTGGCAGCCACAGTTTTTTGACCTTCAACAAGACCTCCAGGTGCGGCGTGCCACACCCATGCTTGACCCTGGAAATTCACTCTATCTTGAGGTAGCACTTCGGAGTGAAATGAGTCTCTGGCGCTTCTTTTCCAGTGTATCAAGTGTACTTTGACCAGCTTAATGTGCATTTGGGAAGTGCCGAAGGAAGTCGAAAGCAGTCTCGGCGCTCCTTTTCTTTACAGAGTCATGTTAAGTTTGTGGAATTTTACCTCAGTAGTTGGGAAATGAATGTTGCGACACAATAATGTTCACTACATTTTCGTACTCGTTGCAAATTCTGTTGCCTTTGTCATCTTGGCTGACCGTCGGTAGGAAAGCTTTGCACTTTTGCTCGCTCAAAAGCACCGTCCACCTAGATTGAGGTCGCTGGGATTTTGACGTTGTATAACAGCGGAGCACCCCATTGAGCAACCGCCAAATCCCTCTTCAAAGATGAACTCCGTAGGGAGAAAAGCGCTCCAGAAATTGAAAGCGGCTCAGGTGGCTATGCCCATCCATGTAGGTGCTCCAAAAATAAAAAGTGCAAAATCGGGTTCTAAGGGCCGCATGCACTAACATCGCCGCGGGGAGGGGATCGCAGCTTAAAAGAAAGCTTTATATTTAGAAACTCCAGATACCTGGATTTCACGTTGTGTATCTATCCGTAAGTATTCCTACTACCCTTCACTATGAACATGTTGAACAGGAGCGAGAAGCTGTACAAACCGCATTTTCCAGCTTTTGTGTGATCCCTGATGATCCCCGGCGCTTTTCTCTATGGTCATTTTTCTTTCTCCGAAGTTAACGAAAACCTTCCAAAGTTGTGCAGATTATCTAACCCGACTGTGCTAAGCATGTTGCTGATAAGAACAAATGATGTTTTGAATCATGAAATTTTCGATGATCCACAGGTCGAAATTTGAGGTTTACCGAAAAATTCGACTTTTCAAAAACTCATTTGTTCTCATCAGCAACATGCTTAGCACTGTTGTGTTAGATGTTCAGTCAACTTTGGAAGGCTTTCGTTGACTTCGGAGAAAGAAAAATGACTTTGAAGAAGAGCGCCGGGGATCATCAGGGGTCATACAAAAGCTGGAAAATGCGGTTTGTACAGCTTCTCGCTCCTGTTCAACATGTTCATAGTGAGGGGTAGTAGGAATACTTACGGATAGGTACACAACGTGAAATCCAGGTATCTGGAGTTTCGAAATATAAAGCTTTTTTTTAAGCTGCGATCCCCTCCCCGCGGGGAGGTTAGTGCATGCGGCCCTAAGTGTCTACAATTGTTATGAAACTGCACTTCACTACCATTATCAGATTCTCGACTTTTCTATCCACTCCGAAACCGGCGTTCGAGCTCATTATCTTCACCACTTACATTGATGGGCGCAGCCATGGGTCCCTTCTACCTTATGAAGCAATTCTCTCGCTTCGGAGTTCATCTTTTGTAGCGGACCACCTAGTTGGGGGCCCTGATATTACACAGTATTTAGATAACAGAATCCTCAGTCGGGGTGGACAATGCCTTCATAACGACCGAAAAAACAGAGCTTGAACATATCTGACTACTATTTCCTACACCTTGTGTTGCTCCCCTTTACTTCGAATCAAGCTGAAGTGTGCGAGACTGCCTAATGTTCGTCAACGAAAGATGGTTTATGCTTGACCAAAGCATCGAGTACTTTGAACTGGCCGAAGAAGTAATTTTCAACTAGTACTTCTTTCTGATCAACCTAATAGCACAAACAATTTGTCCATTCCCTTTCAGTGAGTGTCTCGTTCGCTTAGTACATAAAAATGAATTTTCAGGAGAAAGAAGTGCTGCAGAAGAGCCAAAAGTGCACAGGTTCAATCCTTTTGTCTTTCTTCCTCCTGCAGTATGTGACGTCGTGGCAACGGCAGTGGTTTACATCGGCCTGAACCTCACCACTGCCAGTAGTTATCAGATGTTACAGGGTGAGCGCTGCTCAACTGACATGTGACGGTTATCGCTCAGTGGCGGTACATTTTTTAGGGGCGCTTATCATTTGCACCGGATTACTATCGATACTCATGTTCAGAAGACGTATTGAGTATTACCAGTGGTTTGGAATGATCGTGGTCGTCATAGGTCTGGCCATCGTAGGAGTAACAGACGTGGTTATGGGTGCTGAATCAAACCATTCGAGCTCTGAGGTCATGATTGGTAGGCTTGGCGTCGTCAGCGCTTACCCGAACCCGACAGTGCCCATCTTCTTCAGGCAATATTCTTTGCGTTGTGTCACAGATTGTGGTCGCTCTGCAACTTGTGCTCGAAGAGAAATATTTAAATAAGTACGACGTAGAAGCTCTTTTTGCCGTAGGACTTGAAGGTTAACGTTTAAGACTTTGCTTGCTATGTAGAATGATTGCTTTCTAGGCATTTATGGGTTCATAATTCTTCTTATCAGCTTGGTACCTCTTTATTATATTCACGTCGGTGCAACATTCTCTACCAACCCGTACGGTCGCCTGGAGGTAAGACAGCAGCACTCTTCTACTATTAATCCCGCTGATTTCCAGGATGTGGGCTATGCATGGGATCAAATCTGCAAGGATCCTATGATTGCAGTATCCTTAGCCTGTATGATTGTAAGGTGTGCAAACCTCATTTGCAAATCATGTGTTTTTGCAAAGCCAATTCGTTTAGTATCGCCATCTTCAATTTTGCTGCTATCAATGTCACTAAAGAACTTTCTGCAACTACTCGAACAGTGGTTGACACTATTAGGACGATATTGGTATGGGCAGTCAGTGTGCCTGTCTTCCATGCAAAATTCATACCTTATCAGGTCTGTGACTAATATAATGAATTCGGTTTAGAGAAACCACTCATTTTCTGAAAACATCGTGGTGACTAATTGCTTCGGTAGAGAAAATGGTGGTTTTTTCCAGAGTGAGAAGCCGTCATTATGCAGTAGAATGCTTTTTGTAGGCTGTGAAACAAGGTAGCCAAGCAGAGGCTATTCTATGCACATCTAACGTAAAGTGTATGCACAGATATCTTCGGAGGTGGTTTCGCGCCCACGCCAAAGAGACCCAAAACAGAAGCTTAGAAATACCAACCAGGTTCTCGATTGGGTGATGATGAACGAATTCGGACTTGAAAATTCTATTTTTAACAGATACAAGGGTCGAGTGGTATGAAAAGGTGCTGCACCCTTGGAAATACCCTTTGATTCAACTGGCTTGGCTCCGGCAAGGCGGGGCTTTGTGACCAGATTAAGGCCGCTCGCACCCGTGACGCACCTGCGTCTCCCTCGCGCGAGTGCTCTTTGATCAATGCCTAGCCTTAATTACCAAGCCAGTTGATTCAAATGGTACGCGCGCGTGAAAAAAAGTCTTGACCGCAACTGTGGGGGACCCGTCATACTTCGCCGAAAAAAGCCCAAAGAAGCCCGAAAAAGCCCAAAAAAGCCCAAAAGCGCCAGAAAGAGCCAAAACACTTCTCGCACGTTTTGGCGCTAAGGCATGTGTGTTGACTTCGCAATCGAGCCTTTTTGTCATTTTCTGTCGTCCGCATGATAAGATAATGTCAGAATTCTACCAAAAGTTCGTTTCTACATTCCGGCTCTTTCTGGCGCTTTCGGGCTTTCTTGGGCTTTTTTGGGCTTTTTCGGGCTTTTTCGGGCTTTTTCGGCGAAATATGACGGGTCCCTGAGGAAGAATAACAAGAGGCCTGAGGACCAATAAAAATGGTAACAAAGTGATAAACTTAAACTCGGAGGGAGTTCAATCCACTCTTTGGTAGGGCCGGCTTCAGTCTTTACTTGATTGTTCCTATAAGGGAAGTCAGATAACTGAGATTCGCGTTTAGTAATGAACACATATATTTGGAATCAGATTCGAACGCTGATTCCAAATATGGCATTTTTTGCTGCGGCACATCACACGAAGGAGAATCATAATCATTGATTTTTTCTTCTGCGCAAAATTTACATGCTTTTTGACTTACTGGCATTACGGTATCATCATCTGAGTGTTGGTTTTCTGCGTTAAGTTTCTTACCAATGACAAAAGACTTATTCTGATACTAGCTGGCTTACCCGGCTCCGCCGTATGTTCCGAATAGAAAATTCCATTTCTTAACCGATCCGGACCAAACTTGGCACACATACACTTCGGGCCCCGGCGGGTGTCATAGGCTACTTTTCGTCATCGATCGATATCGATTTTATTGATTTTTCAAAAAGTTCGAGCTATGGGGCTGGGAGTTTGCACAGGGGGTAACCGAGCATGCAGATTACGAATACAATATTAGTTTTCAAGATCGTCCATTACTTTTATCGATTTTATCGATTTTTTGAAAATTCGAGCTAGGGGGCTGGAATTTGGCACAGGGGTGTAATCGAGCATGCTGATCACCCCCCTTGGGGATGATCAGCATGCTCGATTACCCCCCTGTGCCAACTCCCAGCCCCCTAGCTCAAACTTTGGAAAAAATCGATAAAATCGATAAAAGTAATCGATGATCCCGAAAACCAATATTGTATTCGGAATCCCCATGCTCGATTACCCCCCTGTGCCAACTCCCAGCCCCGTAGCTCAAACTTTGCAAAAAAATCGATAAAATCGATAAAAGTAATCGATAATCCTGAAAACCGATATTGTATTCGGAATCCCCATGCTCGATTACCCCCCTGTGCCAACTCCCAGCCCCGTAGGTGAACTCAGCAAAAAAATCGATAAAAATCGATAAAATCGATATCGATCGATGACGAAAAGTAGCCTATGACACCCGCCGGGGCCCGAAGTGTATGTGTGCCAAGTTTGGTCCGGATCGGTTCAGAAATGGAATTTTCTATTCGGAACATACGTACACACAGACAGACAGACAGACAGACATACAGACAGACATACATACAAACAGACATTCAGCTTTATATATAAGATTATTTTAGTATCTCAGCACCGTTCTTAGGCAGATTTCCACTGCAGGTAACCTTCTCACGATGGATGGTAAACCATTTCCGCACAAAAAAGCTCATAATTCTCTTCAGAGTAATGTGCCGCAGCTAAGGACAGCATTTTTGGAATACTTATGGTATAGGGTAATAGAAACATCCGGATGGATAGGCAGCGAGAAATCAGATGTCTAAAGCTGGAGTATGTGAAGTTTTCTGTAAAGCTGCTTTCCGCTCCCCAGCGAGGATGTTAATGCATGCGTAGAGAACAAATTTAGGAAGACTTCCTGCAAAGTTGGAACTCAAACTATCGGTGGCCCCCGTTTCACATCTCGGTTATATAGGATCTAACTCTGTCAAAATGTCCCTAATGCAAATATGCAGTGTCCACGGACACTCCCGGCCACCCTCGCAAAGGATTACAATCACCTTCTGAGAAGTTTACGGAGGTATCCTCCAAAACAGTCAGTAAAGGATGAGTGGATGGATGCGAAGACAAAGAAATTAGTAATAAGCGGTGAAAATGAAACGATTTTCGTATTATCCGGGGCCGTGGCAAAGCACGTGAGACGAATAGATGCCTTGGTTCGAAAAGGTAGTGCTTGAGCTAGAGAGAAGTAAAATAATGAACTGTGTTAGCAAGAGGCGAAATTACTATCTCTCTTCCGTGCCAGCTATAGGGCTTGGCACAGGTGGCTTACGAAGCAGGCTGGATGTCGTTTTGGGGGCAAAAGCTAGTGGGTATCGTTTTTACGAGGTCCGGGCGGTGCCCGAAAAAATGCTTGTATCAGCTAGTGTAGATGGTGTATATGAAAAAAATGGCTTAGATGGTGTATAGAAAAAATCGCCAACCGCTTCGTGCAAAATCGGAGTCTCGGAAATGGAAAATGTCTTCAAAAGCACCTTCGGATTATGCAAGGAAATGTGAACTTTAAATTGTTGAGGGAAAACTTCGAGTTATAGGTTAAAAGGGCTTGCCTTAGGTGCTGAGGATATCTGAAAAAATTTACATAGATAAAGGCTACTGCATGACGAAGGCGCAGAAGCAGTATCAGTTGAACGGGCGCGAATGTGACGCGCGCGTATTCTCACCGTTCTATGTGGCTAATAGAGCAGCGTTCGCGCTCAAAGACATGGCGCCTTCGTCATGCAGCAGCCTGCACATCGTATCGAGTGTGTGCGAGAATAAACCGCATGTCATTGGGTGCGTCTTGATGATCTCAAATCTACCTTCCGTATTTGCGATGCTCTTTGGAAATGGTTATAACGGTTAAAAGTATGAAAACGTTGCTGCTCCATGCGTGATGTGCTCAAAATCCTACTCGGGGAGTGCATGACTAGCATGATATTGACTGTACTAATTCCAAGGAATGCTGCTCACATTAGCCGGAAACACAAACAATCGCTTATAAACAACTAATCCTTGAAGGTTTGGCGCTGGATGTTTGCCAAATTTGGACTACTGAACGCCCATAACTTTTTCCAAAGAACACGTCTCAGATATGGAAGAAGATTTAGAATTAGTTCATTAAGCCGCGTTCAATGATTAGCGGCTCATCCCGATTAGCCACCTTAAGTTGGGATTGTTCACTGATAAGGGAGTGAATAAAGCAGGGTTTTTGCACAGAACACTCTCAAGGAGTTTTGGTAGATAGGACACCCTTTGCTTAATGCAGTAGTAGGCCATGCTCAATTACACAAAGGAGCTAGTATACATGGAAACCAGTGGCGTACCAAGGGGGGCCCCCCCCCCCGAGAAGGGTTCGCGAAATTTTGAAAGTTACTTACATGAGTCATAAAAATGTGTAAAAGACTTACTTATACTTGAAAGTATTTAAGATAATTTTTTAAATTTTCTAAAAATTCAATTTAGCTTTATAAAAAATTTTCGGCGTCAGCCACGCCCCCTTTTTCTAAAATTTTTGGGTTATGGGCCCGCGAAAATTTTAAGAAGCGCAACAAAAAGCTTTTCTGGGTCCTCGCCCGCCTCTCAATACACGATAGAAATAATTATGGCCTATTTCTGTGCAGCATTTCCCCGTCCCGGTCTCCCTCTACGTGCAGCACCCTGTCTCCATATGTCTTCGTAATCAATGTCGTAGGCTACTTCTTGTTATCGATCAGTATCGATTATAGATTTTTCGAAAAGTGCGAGCGGGGCTGGGATTCTCACAGGGGCGAGGGAGGGGGTAAGTGAGCATGTGATTACGAATTATTAGTTTGTGAAACTATCATTGTTTCCATATATTAATTTTTTTGCATTGTTTGAGCTACGGGCTGGGAGTTGGCGCAAGGAGTAAGTGAGCATGCTGATTACGAAAGCAAAACGGGGTTAGAGTACTGGCATGTAAAAATGGGCAGAGAAGGGTTTTACAGTAATAGGATGGCGACCCTTATCATGTCTGACAGGGCCAAGCGGAGCCGAGTATGCCAGCTGGTTTATAATAGACTAGCTGGCTTACCCGGCTCCGCCGTATCTGGACCAAACTTGGCACACATACACTTCGGGCCCCGGCGGGTGTCATAGTCCACTTTTCGTTATCGATCGATGTCGATTTTACCGATTTTTATCGATTTTTTTGCAGAGTTCACCTACAGGGCTAGGAGTTGGCACAGGGGGAAGTGAGCATGGGGATTCCGAATACAATATTAGTTTTCAGAATTATCGATTACTTTTATTGATTTTATCGATTTTTTTGCAAAGTTTGAGCTACGGGGCTGGGAGTTGGCACAGGGGGGTAATCGAGCATGGGGATTCCGAATACAATATTGGTTTTCAGGATTATCGATTACTTTTATCGATTTTATCGATTTTTTTGCAAAGTTTGAGCTACGGGGCTGGGAGTTTGCACAGGGGGGTAATCGAGCATGCAGATTACGAATACAATATTAGTTTTCAAGATCGTCCATTACTTTTATCGATTTTATCGATTTTTTGAAAATTTGAGCTAGGGGGCTGGAATTTGGCACAGGGGGTAATCGAGCATGCTGATCACCCCCTTGGGGATGATCAGCATGCTCGATTACCCCCCTGTGCCAACTCCCAGCCCCCTAGCTCAAACTTTGCAAAAAAATCGATAAAATCGATAAAAGTAATCGATAATCCTGAAAACCAATATTGTATTCGGAATCCCCATGCTCGATTACCCCCCTGTGCCAACTCCCAGCCCCGTAGGTGAACTCAGCAAAAAAATCGATAAGAATCGATAAAATCGATATCGATCGATGACGAAAAGTAGCCTACACCCGCCGGGGCCCGTAGTGTATGTGTGCCAAGTTTGGTCCGGATCGGTTCAGAAATGAAATTTTCTATTCGGAACATACGTACAGACATACAGACAGACAGACAGACATACAGACATACAGACAAACAGACATTCAGCTTTATATATAAGATATAATACATTTTACAACAGTATTAACAAATACAAAATCTAATTCTTATCGTATCGGTGTTCTAATCATTGTCATTTCAGATCATTGGCTTTTTGCTACTACTGCTAGGCATGTTCATCTACAACGATATGATAATAAATCCATGGATCCGCCGAAAATTCTTACCCAGTATAGAAGATCCCGATCCTGGAACTTGTGCTAGGTATGATATTGCTTACCTTTGACTACCGTTAGAGTCTTTAGCAGTAGCATGAGCTTCGAATCTGTTTGACAATAGCATATGTGCAAGCCTTGTCAGGTTCCACATGACGCCGATATATAAGCTCTGCTTATCAGCATTTAGTTCTGAGGAAATGGCACGATAAGAGATTTGAACTTTTCATGTACTAGTTAGGAAATGACCGTGATCACGGCAGGATAGGTGTAAGAAATGGGAAGCACATCGTTTGATAGAGGAAAGCAAGTCCTCAGGATGGCATTTGCATAATCGCAAAAACTTCGCTCCATGTGAAGTTCGAAAGAAATTGGAAGGATTCGAACACCCAAAACCCAGATCTCTGTCCAAAAGAATCTTCCGAACCCTTCGATGGTCACGCGTTTCCCACCTCCGCATCATGGACCGTAGTAATTTCCGTGACGCACAGGGTCGCAACTCAATATCGAGCTCACAATCACTTTCATTTCACAAGCCATTGCTTTGTCGTCTATCTTTACATCAGGGGTATACCGTGACTTCAGACGTGACTTATCAGCTCGCGATAGACTCTGACACTTACTGCGCACGAGGCGGGCTTTAAATGCCGTTGCGGTTGGATTTTCACAGCTTGCGCGGGTCAGAGGAATGCAACAGTGAAGTAAGTCAAGGGCGTCGGGTCGACCGCTGTATGAGTTCAAAGCCACGACTCGATTAAACTATTTTAGTGTAGTAAACCAAGGGCCGCGGGTGGGCCGCACTACAGCGGCTGATCCGAGGCCCTTCATTTTACTACAGCGATATCTCCGACCGGCCCGCGGAAGCTACGAAAGTCCAGGCGCAGACGTCCGCCCGGTGTAGTCCGCTCTCAGGCCCTAGTAAACCCCCGAAATACGTCGTGATGTAAAGAAACCGAGAACACGACGTGTCCGACTGAAGGACGTGCTGCTCACGACCACGTTTTGGTAGCCGCAAAGCTTACGAGCGCAGCGGGATTGAACTCTTCGTTGATCGTCGACGGCGCGCACTGCCACTGCGCCACAGATACACATCTCTAGGATGTAAAGTTGAAGCAAACGAACAAAATGCGGCGGACGAACAGTCGCTTCCGACGTCTCTCGAATAAATCGATAAGCCAGCTTCGATTTAATTAACCTTTATCTGTAAGTTGTAAACATGTTCACTGCCCCACGTTCACAACAAAGGCGCGTACTGGCCAACATGCAACGTGGATAGGCAGCGCCAGTATCGGATGCCGCTGTGCCTACGGAGAGGGGGTACGCATCCCGTGTGAGCCAAAGTTTTGCACGAGTTTTTTGTCTATAAATAAAAACTAGTCAGTTCTTCAGCAGTAAAGGAAAAATGACCACGTGAAACATAAAAACACAAAAAATTGATTCATCGTAAAATATTCATTTTCTAAGTTGGCGCAAATATGTGCTGTTTTATTAGCCATGATGCCAGACGGTTCCCTTTCTCAAAATCAAGGGAAACGTTAGGTACACAGCTAATGAACGGCAAATTAGTGGAACTATTTAATAAAAACTTCTAAGACGGGAGAAACCAAGGAATTTTAGCAAGCAGAAAAAATCGGCGCTTAAATGGATTGCAATGTGAGACTAAAGAGAAAAGTTAGCTTTACTAAACAAAATACGACTAAATAGGTTCCTAATATAACTTGTAATCGAAATAAACTCACCTTTTCTAAATTACAGAGCATTTAGTGCAAAACAATCAGAAAAATAGAAAGATCCGCTCGCCGCCTGGATATTTGGGCGCTTATCAGCTGTTGATATCGATTGCAAATGGCGTGCGTTGAACCTAGTGCTGTGTATCTACGGTCCTTGCACAAGGACGCGACCTCGGCGTACTCGATCACTAGTCAGCTGCGCCTCCCTGCGTCTACACGCTGGGCCCACTATTTTTATTACTCTGCCCCTTAAAGGCAGTGGCTCGGCAAATCTCGACCTAGTCAAATTTTCGCTTATCTGGGGTTATTCAATACGCTGATCCCGAAAATCCACTTCTGCGAGCTTGAAAACGGCGAAAACGAGCGTTTTTCAATGCCGTTCCCTTCGGAATTGGACGAGTGGCGCAAGGCTAATGATGCTGGATCGTTGCGGGACCCAATGGTTATAACATTGCGGCGGGCAGCCTCCAATGATGAAGAGGAAATTGCCAATTGCCAAGAGGAAATCGTCCGGATGCGTGTAAGATTGGCCTGCCTAAGTTTGAGAGCCATTTTCTCGGCAGGGAAGGCATGCTGTGCAACCAGGATTACACTGTTTTCATACTTGGGCGATAAGGAACCTATCGCGTTAAAATCCTGAGTTGTTGAGTTTTGCCGATCCACTGCCTTTAAGTGACGACGTTCACGACGTGCTCGTCCTCTGCGCGCGAGGACGAGCACGTCCTACAGTCACGACGTCGTGCGATTTCGCCGCGCGGCTGTGATAAGAGATAGGCGCGCGACGAAACGCGGCCGAAATGATACGTGCTGGGTACGTGCGATGTTTCGAACGTCGCGACCCTCACGACGGGGGGATTACTACAGGCCCCAGTGTCTGAACTCGTTATATAAAGATAGACGGCAAAGATTAATGGCTTGTGGAACAAAGCTGAGCTCGAACTTATGTTGCGACCCGTTACTTTAGTCGTCTCTTCTATTTAATTGATTTTTGGCAGTTATCCAAAACGCCTCATTTGCGAGGCACAGGTTCGTACAACAAGATCGTAATTTGAGTCGAGTGCAACGTCGCTATGATTCATCTGACGGCAAGGGCACTGCGGATTTTCGCTTGCTTCCGTCCATAGCCGGTATGTATCAATCTCCCTCTCGGGAAGGGGTTCCCGTCTGGATCGTTACCCGACCGGGCACGGGCGCCCGCACCAGCGATGCACCATTCTGGGATGTTACTCGGGCAAGAGCCCGAACTGCCTAGTTGGGGATCAGCAGCACGCGTGCTGACTTATTTGTAATATGCCTCCTGGCGCATTTTGGAAGTGACGCCCTTCACTTTTTGTGCAATTCTACTCCGAATTTGAGTCCGTCCGTGTTTCTTTATCGATTTTGTCCCCTAACCATACTTTTTTGTGTTTTCTCTGATCGCTGTAGAAATCTGAAACTGGCGTCTAAAGAGTTAAAGAAAATTCAAAGTGAAAGAGTTAGAAGTTAAAGAACTCACCTATAGCGCATAAAAGGGCAGCACAGACTTTGTGCCGATATGCACTTGCTCATTCCTGCATGCAAAAACTATGTTTGAAATAATTACAAACAGATACATCATCAAAATGTTGAGGAAGAATGATCCTCCTCTACAATGTGTGTGAGACACATTTCTGTGAGAGTGTGACATCACACAAAAGAAAGGAGGTATCAATTAAAAAGAATCAATAATCAAACAAAATCATAAAATCTCATTTTGATGATAAAGCAGGCACAACCTGCGGCCGAATGATAAAAGAGAAAACCAGACAGGATTCTGTCTGGTTTGCTTATGAAGCATAAAGAAAAGAAAACAAAACCGAAAAAGTTAAAGAACTCACCTACAGCGCATAGAAGGGCAGCAGTGGCGAATGTGCGCAAAATCCGAGATAACAGGGTTAGGCGTGGAATACATTATTTTTGATGCGCCGTGAATAATCACGGCCGACGCGCATTCCGCAACGTCTGGTGATGATGGAATGAAGATGAGTTGCACTCAAAATCATAAGTGCGATAGTATGAGAATTCTCTCACCCCTTCTTCACCCCTGAGCCGAGACCAAAAGCCGAGAAAAAAAGCAACAGTGAGGTAAGGTTAAGCAAAGGAGATATTTGTACGTGAATTGTTTACGTACAGGAATGGAGGGGTGTGTTGAAAAAAGTGCTTGGTGACGGGTGCGAGTAGTGATTTATGGACATTCTGGAGTTTTTAACATAGAAAAATTCATAACTTTTGTAGATGAACTATTTTACGGCGAGATAGTCACCGTTGGAACCGTATCGTCCTCCGCTTTCAGAAAGCATGTAGCATATCTGAGATCCATTCAAGAAAGTGCGGTGAAGGGTGTGCTTAGTGATTTTTGGGAATTTTCGCGCTTTTAACGTAAAAAAATTAATAAATCTTGTAGATGAATATTTTGTACGCCGAGATAGTCACCGTTAAAACCGTCTCGTCCTCCGCTTTCAGAAAATATATACCTTGCCTGGAGTCCTTCAAAAAAAGTGCCTGGGTGAAGGGTGTCCTAGTGATTTCTGGAGATTTTCGAGTTTTTAACATTAAAAAAATTCATAACTTTTGTAGATAAACATCTTACACTCCTTGATGGTCACCACTGGAACCGTCTCGTCCTCCGCTTTCAGAAAATATATACCATGTTTGGGGTCCGTTAGAAAAAGTGCCGGGTGAAGGGTGGGTGAGACTTTTATAATGGGGGGTGCTCAAGTAGAGGTCATTTTACAATGGTAAAAAAAGCCTGTACTTGAGCACTCCCATTATAAAAGTCTCACCCACTTTTCACCCGGCACTTTTTCTAAAGGACCCCAAACAAAGTATATATTTTCTAAAAGCGGAGGACGAGACGGTTCCAGTGGTGACCATCACGGAGTATAAGATGTTTATCTACAAAAGTTATGAATTTTTTTAATGTTAAAAACTCGAAAATCTCCAGAAATCACTAGGACACCCTTCACTCGGGCACTTTTTAAAGACTCCAAGCAAAGTATATATTTTCTGAAAGCGAAGGACGAGACGGTTTCAACGGTGACCATCGCGGCGTACAAGATGCTCATCTCCAGAAGTTACGGATTTTTCTATCCTAAAAACTCGTAAATATTTAGAAATCACCCACAATCTTCAACAGGCTCTTTTTCAACAGACTCCAAACAAACTATATGTTCTCTAAAAGCGGAAGACAAGATGGTTTCAAAAACATCTCCCTTGCTGACGCTGCTGTTCACCTACAGAAATTACGAATTTCTTCTTTAAAAAAATCGTAAATGTTTAAAAAATGTCTCTTTCCGAAAAAAATGTCTTCGCATGCACTCGGTAATTCCAGAAACAGGCAGAGTGATGTAAAAAAGGAAAAGGAAATGTTAAAAATATACAAGGCGCTGGTCAGAAATATAACTGCGTGCTAATCCAGCAGCACATCGGTTCACATTTCAGAAAAAAAGATAACCAGTGATGGTAAGGAATAAATTATGCACTTTGACTAGAAAAAATGATGAGAAAACACCACGGCTCTCCCCCTCCCCTCCCGTCGACATTTTATCACCCTCCACTCTGGACGGGCTGCGACCACCGTGACCCCCTTTACCCTGGAGGAGTCATTCTCACCCTATCGCACCTGTGCTCAAAATGTCAAAGTAAGGATAACATTATGGGATAATGGAATAGTGAAGTACTTGAACTGCATGCAAATCACAAACATGCACGTTATGGTTACTTGCAAACCACCCTAGGTACCAAGAAAGAAATTCAAAATGAACAAAAAAAAGAAAACAAGTTTCCGTTTCGTTCCTTCCCTTAGACGGAGCACAAATACAAGAAAAAACAACAAATAAGCTTTTCTCGGAGCTCTTCAGCAAGGAGGGAGGGCGTAACAGTAAAGAAGATGAAAAACTCACTAATTTCAGCAAAAAACGCGATGAGTTGCATCTCCCGTCGCGAGTGCCCGATCCCGCGAGATCGGGCTTTCCTGCCCGTCCGGTTTGGGCTCCCGCGAGTTTTACACACCATGGGTCGGGCGCCCGCTCCCGCCAGGGCGTTCATTTCCAATGGTTAAGGAGCGCCCGGTCGCGGTTCGGGAGATCGATACATACCGGCCCAGAGGTTCCACTCATTGACAAGCTTCATTCCGTTTTCCCAACACGCTAGTTCCCCATAATAGACATGTTCAGCAGTGGCGGTCCAAGGGCGGGGAGGGACCTCCATGCCCCCGGGAGGGATTCCCCCCTCCTCGGACCGCCAGGTGCGTTTTTGAAATTTTTCGCATGGGTTATAAAAACGTGCAAGTTTCTTGTTCAGTCTTGTCTCGCGTCGTTCTGAACTGCTCGAGATTGAAAGTGATGGCTTGCATAGACAGAGAGTCCGTTATATTCTGCCACTTGGCATGCAGATTCAAGCCCGGCGTCAATATCCGATGGGTCTTCCTTGACCGATTTTCTTGATGGACCATAGGTATGCGAGGTAGTCCACCGAGATGTTTTTAATGCCGGGGTTCTGGCCAACTTGTTTGTCGCTCACGACACACATCGACGGGGCCGTAGTAACCAGTGCTATATCTCCCCCTGTTGCCCATTCCTGAGTCACATAATTATGTATACGGCTTCAAGAACTGCACAATCCCTCCACGTGCTCCTTTCCTAAAAAATAAGTATTTAATAACCGATAAGCGCAAATAAGCATGCCAACTGTTGCTTTGAAGATCTTGTTCCCCTGAGTTATCGTTATCTTCACTTAATCGCATCTTTTTCAGAATGAATGGCAAACCGATGAGCAAAACATAATCATCTGTAACAATCTCAAAAGTTCTTTTATTCAGGTGCTGCTTTGCGTTTTGTGGTATGAAACGCGCAACCAAACCTGAGGTAGAGTTGAACGGTGATTTGATATCAGAAGAAAAGGCTTAGTATTTATCACGATGGGATGATGCAAATAATAAGGCAAATCAATCATAATCACCCAATCACACAATTCTAAATTTGTACATCTCTATTATTTCCGTCTTTATTTCAACGTCACACAAAATTCCATCACTCCATCATCATGCTTCCATGTAGCTACAGTTCTCGGATGTCATACTGTAAAAAGAAGTTTTAGTGATAGATCGTTCTTGTTTACATTTTTCACTTTTGTTGTTAGACTAACTGATTTGCATATCCTCATGAAGTAATAAAAATCTAAAAACAAGATTGTGGTATTGAAAATCACACGAAAATTGTACATGAGATAAAATATTTGCTGCCATCACAGTCAGTATTCTTATACTTGGATCTCTTGGTTAAAAATCTATTTGGAGCTGTAACGTGGTTAACATTTACCAGTGCGTCACCTCCACTTTGCGGAGGTTCGCACTGACTCTCTTATCCATATGCCTTTCTCATGCTCGCATAATGATGACTTTGAAACTCACCTCGCGATGCTGAACATTAAGGGCCGGGCATACTTCACGCGATTTCAGTCGCGACGTGATTTGGCAGTATTCCAACTTCCATAACTCACTGTAAGCACATTTTAAATGTACGAAAGATAGGGCATTTTATCCCACGTAAGTTATACACACTAAGCATGTGCAGTTTGCAAGTGTTGCATCTGAAGACTTCTGGCACTGCCAAATCGCGTCGCGAGTGGAATCGCGTGAAGTATGCCCGGCCCTTTGCAAATGAATCGTAAACAACTGTTCATTCTTGAAGCATTTTCACGTAAGATTGGTAATTTTGAGAGGAAAAGCATTTTCGCAAAGGAACAAATGCGAATTTGAATGGATTACTGAATTTGTTTCGGCTCCTTAGTCGTTATAAGGATAATAATCACTTTGAGCTACACCGTGCAAATCTTTTCGAAATTTAAAGTAAAACCTTGCCAAATCCGATATCAACGCGATCCCCACTTTTTGGCGCTATTTTCGCAGAAAAACAAACTTTTTGAACACATCTTGAGCTAGAATTTATGGGGCGCAGATTTATCTGTCAGGCAAATCATGACTTTGCAAAAAATCGGATTAGCGACCTAGTTTTGCGTGCCAAACCCCGCGCGGACCCGTTTGACGCGCCAATTTTGAAGGACCCGTATGGCCTCGGACATACCTCACGCGATTTGGCAGTACTCCAAACGTTTATAACTCAACGTACGGGGTTTCCAAATGTACGGAAGATAGGGCATTTTATCAACCTACGAAAATTATACATGCTGTACATTTGGGGTCTACCAGTTTTGAATTTGAAAACATCTGGCAAATTGCCAGATCGCGTGGCGATTGAAATCGCGTGAGGTATGTCCCTTGCCTATATCGCCGGCTCGTCCTTGTGCATGGTGAACCTACAGGCCGGTGCGGTATGTTATGCAAAATTGTACAAGGTTGGGGGAAAGTCTTTAAAATACGGTATTTTTAACGTAATGATGAAGCTCGAGATGATTACATGAAATCAAAGGTAATGTTTACTTAATTGTCTGCTGCGCAAAACTGGCTTTACAATTCGAAGATTCCTCCTTTGACGCGAGCACAAGCTCGGAAACGCTTGGGAACGCTGTCCATGGTCACGAAGGTGCTTCACGTCGATTTCTTCCAACGCCTTCTGAAGAGCAAGTCGCAGAGACTCCACTGTCTTGCGTGGGTGAGCGCAGGCTTTGGCCTAAAGAACTGACCACACACTGTAGTCGGGAGTATTCAGATCCGGCCAATGCGGAGGCTGTTCAAGCAGTCGATGGCATCTGCGCAGTCAGTTCAGTTTCGTGTCCTCCCAAAAAGCATATAATTTTAGCATCCTAAAAAGCTTCATCGCAAGGCCCTCTTTTACGATGTCGGAGACTGTACTGCCAGAGATGACAGCTCTGAAGCCAGCTCAATCAAGCTTCGCCGAGGATTGCGACGAAGGCATTGGCGAACGATTTTCAGGATTTCGATACTGTCCGCAGTAGCCAATTTACCACACATACAACAGTCCTGTGGCCGTATTCATCAACGAACCCTGGGGGTTAAACTAACCCTGGAGGGTAAGTTTAACCCTCAGGGTTCATTGGCCGTATTCATCAACATAGGGTAGGGTTTACCACGCAACGCGATCCACCCGTATCTATCAACGAACCTGTGGCCGCATTCATCAACGAACTCTGAGGGTTAAACTAACCGAGGGTTAAGGCGTTAGTTACGCGTGCGTTGTGCAAACTCACACCACAGAATGTCGTACGTGCTAAATTCACTTTATACTTCTATTCTTTCACTGTTATAGTAGTATAATCAACGAATAAGCTTCTAACACTAGTTTTTGTATTACATCTCTAGCATATTTGTGCAGCATCCAATCTTACAGCGTGAGCTTATTTTCATATGTGCAAGTGTGCTGTGTAAGGCCCCGGTCAGAGTTCACGCGACTTAATCGTCGCGATCTAATCGCCAAGATTTCCATTCATTTTCATTTCACCTTAAAAAATTTCGGGCTGGAAAAGTATCACAACCGAACGCAAGTTGATCGGCATGGAATGATGTTGTAACAGTTGTCTCCTCGCGACTCAGTCGCGACGATCAGGGGCGGTATGCATCAATCTCCCGTTTTGAAAGCGGGCGATCATTTTCAATAGAAACATGATTGCCCGGCTGGGTTGGCCACAGCTTCAAACATTACGGGTCCGGTGGCCAACCCGGCTGGGCAATCATTTTTCTATTGTAAATGATCACCCGTTTCAAAACGGGAGATTGATGCATACCGCCCCAGATCGCGTGAAGTCTGCCCGGGGCCTAAGGCAGTTCGTTTTATACCTGGCTTGTGCTCTCTTTTAAAGGCACCGTCCACCCAGATTTTCGACTTCCACGTTTTTGTCGTTTCAAGGGCTTCTCATTTCCCTGATTCCGAATATGAAGTCGAGAATGCGCGAAAACCCCGATAATCCCCGTTCCGGAGAACACACAGGCCGGCTTTCCGTAACGGTGATTGGATGGGCGCTCACAAATGGGCGGGCATGGATGGGGGTCCTCGTGTATCTTCGCTATTCCGAAGTGATTTTCTCGCTTCCGAAGCGACATTTTGCGCCGCGACTTGAGCATTGGATTGATAGAAGACCCCTACTATTATATGCTGCCAAAAGTTCAACTCCCTCAACTTAGGGTGGATGGTGCCTTTAAGGGTCAATGCGTGTTATCATAAAGGAATTCTTCTGTTTTGGCACTTGTCAGAGTGGAATGCGCAACCATTTTCCCTCGTCGCACTCATTTGTCACCAAAGCTAGAATTCTTTTCCTCGCGAAGTCAGTGTTTCATATACTTCGAATTTGAACATAAAACGAAGTCGAAACTAAATACTATAACAACAACTAATACTAAATACTACAACACTCGTTGATCGTTTTCCATAAAACTATTAGATGCGAGTAAATGTTTTGAAGGGGTAGAGTTGACCTTGCTCTAAGCTAGGGTTAGATTAACCTTGATGAATCACTTAAATTTTACCCTCCAGGATTAGTTTAACCCTCAGCGTTCGTTGATGCATACGGGTCAATCGCTTTCGGGGTAGGGTTTACCCCCAAGGGTAGATGACCCACAGGGTTAAGCCTATCCTGTGTTTCTTGAATACGGGTTAATCGCTTTCCAGGGTTAAACTAACCCTCCAGGGTTAGTTTAACCCTCAGGGTTCTTTGATGAATACGGCCACAGGATCGTATTCGCATGGATCCATGGCAGTTTCGCGCGAACCCACGCGTTGCGCCATGAATCCATGCGAGATACGGTTCTGGGGTCCAGGAGGGGAATATCTCAGTCGTTAGAGCACTATCTGAGCTGGCGGTTGGGCAGTGGCTTGGTTAGGGCCAAAGTACTATACACGTGAGATCCCCATGTGTCCAGACTTTCCTGGACGCTGCCTTTTAGACTATCAAAACAGTCTAAAGCGTTTTCAGCACCATATGAATTTTTTTCAGTACATTCAAAACAAACAAAACAGATAGTAATGAACTAAAACATAAATGAATGTGAGCCAAACACTCATGAATCGCAGAAGAATTCTTTGCTGTCAGAGAATAAAATCTTATAAAGTAATCAATTGAAAAGGCTAAAGTAAATTGCTCTTTATTCTGACTGAGTTATTGGTTTATTCCATTTTTATACTTCAGCTCCAGAGCAGCAAGATATGACAGCGTCCATTCTCAGCTTCAGTCCCCAGCCGGAATGTACGTACATGCATAGGGCTTAAGCTATCAGTGAAAACGACAACCAAGATTCGTACGTAAAAGCTTAAAGGCAATGGCTTGGGAAGATTGCGACTGCAAGCTTTCCACACTTGCATGGCCTTCTGAATGCGCTAAGTCCAGTGCTGTGCTTGAATGTCAAAAAGTGCTTTTTACGGCGTTTTCCTACGCTGGAATAGCTGGAGGAGATGGGCGAGGGATTCTTGCCAACATCGCAAATGGCTGCCTGAGATCAGCCTGTAGCCAAAATGGGTGGAGTTACAGTCTCCTGCAGCCTGTCGCTGTCCATGGTGAGAATACCTTGCCCATCCCCTTCGGCTATCTCCACGATAGGTGCCGTAAAAAGCACTTTTTTGACTTTTTAAGCACAGCATTGGACTCAGCGCATCCAGAAGGTCATGTAGATGTGGAAAGGTGGCGATCAAGAGGAACAATAGCTGATGGATGTCAATAACCAGGGTCAAGCAAGAGGTGTGGCACCGATCGTTGGTTACGACCCCCCCCCCCCCTCTTATTGCTGTCTCAATAAGACCCCCTGAACTATATACCTAAAATAGCATTACTTGAAGGCCCTGTCAAACATAACGGGTAACATATCTATAATTAGCATGTCAATTAACCCCTGTAGACAATGTTTGAGCGAATTCTGAAGTTTCAACATACTGCGTCACCTAAGTGAAGTTGCCATTTTCCAGCATGATTAACTTTGTTTCAAAGGTGAAGTAGCTAGCTGTTTTTGCACTCAAGACATAGCACTACTCCTTCTTTGGCCACTTCAGAAAACTGACTTCAAAAGATCTCCTAACTTTGAAATTAAAAGTCAGCCAAAATCTTGCTTTTCCTATTTTTCGCTTTTAATGGCTGTGCTTTCACCAAATATTACTTACAGCTAAGAAGATGAATCAGACTCAAATTACTCATATGAAATCTACGAGATCTAGGTTATCAATTCATATAAATACTGTTCGCTAAAAAAGTTTCGATATAGT